GACGTTCTTACGCCGACACAAGCGACGCTCACCCCTCGATACATGTAGAGAAAAGTCCTCTATTATGAGATAAGCTCCTAATATGAGACAACAGACTTTCTGCTAAATTAATAGCCATCATATGTTGGCTCCATTATGAAATTATTGCCCTTGGAGTGAAATCTGTTTAGTGGAAAATTGATTGTTAGGTCGTGTAATCGTTGCGAAAAAAAAATTTGTCATTGAACTTGGACGTTAAAAACCTGCTATCTCATATCAGAATCCTACTCAGATAACCAGTGTGAGCACAAATTTCTTTCATATTGCTAACAAATATGTTAGCATCTTGCTATGCATCTATGTCGTATATTGTGTGCTAGCATTTGATGGCGAAAATGAAACATTTGCATGAACCAAATCTTATGCTAGTGCTTATGTAAGTGCTCGGCCAGATGTAATAGATATAATATGTTGTATGTTTGTATCTGTTAAAAAATTGAAAACATTTTTGTGCTATTGTGAATTGTGTGCTAACCCTTTGTTAACAGTGTGCCCATTCGATGTGTTCTCTCTTTAGCTGTGCACTTAACTACTACAATATGCTAACATTATGCTAGCTGTGCTTAAATCACTCAAACATTGAATTCCTATTCCTAGCGAAGAGCATCAGTTGCTGGCATTTAATTTCCATACATTGCTTGAGCATACTGGCTACCTAGGTATCTCATAATGGAGGACTTTCCTCTATAGCTCCTTAATTTGTGTCATAAAATTTAGGTAGGAGAAAGGTAATTGATAATTGGTTATTTAATAGACGTCTAAGTCTGCTCTTTAAACGTGTACAGCGAGCGTGGAAGACAATTATGGAGAACACGTATCTTCCTGCACAAACATTTCGTGATTATGACCAACTGTATGAAAACGAAATGTTAACAGATTGTGAGCCGATAATGAACTTAATTCAATTAATCTCATGAATATTCCGATCGATCGAGCGAGTGAATAATAATAATTCGAAATTGCTACCGTGTTTCGAACTTTCTGAATTAGAGCCACTGTTCTCATCGACCGAATGAAAAGCTACGTAAAAAAAAAAATACCGCGTATGTAAATATACAAATATAGAGGAAAATTATCTATTGTAAGATAGACTCCTAATATGAGATAACAGGTTTCCAACATTCAATTTTCCAAACTTTTTAGCAATAATTACGCGCACGATCTAACAATGAATGTTCCGCTAAACAGAGAGAGAGGGAAAGAGAGAGGGGAGAAGGAGGGAGGGGAGAGAGAGAGAGAGAGAGAGAGAGAGAGAGAGAGAGATTTCACTCCAAAGGCAATAAATTCGTAATGGAACCAATGGATGATGCTTATTCATTTAGCAAAAACTCCCGCTATCTCATATTAAAAGCGTATCTCATAATAGAGGACTTTTCTCTATTTAACGTGTCTTTCTGTCAGTGAATTTCTTCCTGTCGTGAACGTATTATATGATGAATTGCGTTTCCATCTCCGGAGAATCGAAGAAATCATTATCGACTCATTATCGTGAATCTGGCATAGTACGGACGTGTTCCCCTAGTTAGCGGAACACTTCCTGCAAGCCTAACGATTCGACATATTGCTGCTTGACACCTAGGAAATTCTTCCCGAGATTCATTCAGGCGGTTTAATATGCACGGAAAAAATGTCGCATCAACAAGATCAGTGTAATTGAAATAAAATCGTTGAAACAACGTTATTATTAATGAATGAGAAACATCAGATGGTTGTCTTAATAATCTGGATATTTAGTTCAATGCTTGAAATTAAAATTCATAACAAATGCAATTGAATGAATTATTTAGGTTTGTGGCAGCCCGTGACGTTAACGTTTAATTCAAGCAATAGCATTTTTTTCCGTCTACGAATAGGAATTCTGATTATAGATTTAGGCAGATTATAAGAAGCTTGGCCAATTCTAAAGAGAAGAAATGGTTTTTATTAGATACACATATCTTATTTTTACCTCGGGAATTTATTAATAATATAAAAATTTATTAATAATATAAAAGAATTTATTAATAATATAAAAATTTTAAATTCACTTAATTTAAAATTTTACTCCTCTCTTTTAAATGTGTAGTTTGAGGAAAACCGAAACAGTTAAAATATAGTCCGCGCGTCCTTTTCATTAAATATCAGAGTATCGCACTAAAAAAAAATTAGCAGGAATAATTCGTGTACCGCTTACAAGGGAAAGGGTTATATATCGATCCAACAAACCTCGCACCATTGAAGCCGGCGCCGTAAAATTATATTAATCGTGAATTGTGAAGCGACGAGAGAGCGGCCCAACATTCAAATGCGTAATTCGGTGACTATTCTTCGTACGCGTTAGATTAAATCGTCGGTGGATCGCCCGTTTGTTGCCTTCTATGTGAAGGGCCGCAAAAGTAATTGACAACGAAAGCAACTTGTGCCACTCTTCCTCTTTCTGATGACTTTGGTTTACGACTGGCACGCGAGACCACTCTCCTTCATGATGAAACAAAGCGGGTGACACAGCACTGTTGACATAATTCTTACGCGACACGATATTGAACTCCTCGATACCCTTGCGATGCAATTGATGCTCCGACACTCCAAAATGGCAAAAAAATGTATTATTAATCTGGGTTGATCAATCACGTTGTTGCCAAAAACATATATACGAAATAAATTAGTTAAACTGTAAGTGTACTCCGAGCAAAAATAGCCACGCTGTCGTGCAGGATAATTCGAAAAGAAATACTCTCTAAAAGTCAATCGGTGGATTATCGCTGAAAACAGTGAATAGTCATTGATTTACAGTTATAAGTATACCACTGCGACTTTCAAATCAGTGACTATTCTCTGCTTTCAGTGATAATCCACTGATTGACTTTTGGAGTGTGGGGATTCTTTCTTCCACTGGCACTGTCAAACGTGAACACTGAAAGAAATGATCTTGCAACTGCAGAAACAAATTTCTAGGTACGAAAAACTAACTGAGATGCATAAATGAACAGCCAATATTGCGAAATCGCATATGTTTTGCATTTAATCCGTATAAAATAACAGAAACAGAATTTTTATCTGTACCATCGCGGGCGTCCAGCAGATCTATAGCCGTCCGAGAACTTGTTGCGCCTTCCTCGTGCGTCACGCGAAACCTCCCGGTCCATTTAGGTAATGTAAAAAGCGCGGTCGCAAAAATTGAACTTTCGAAACGCGCTCTCGTTTCGACGAAAGGCGGCGGCGTTTCGGTGAAAAATTTTATTTACACGCGTGGTAAGAAATATTTCTCGGTCCGAAACGTTATTGTGGTTTTCCTCCGGATAGTATCTAATTACAAGTCCCGCAGCCACATGGCCGTCGGAACGATATCTCGACAAGTTACAGGCGCTTGTACTAACAATATTGTTAAGATAACGCAGATCACAATTCGCTGGAAACGTGTTGTACGTCTTTAAATACAACGTTATTGCGATTTCTTCCATTAGTTGATGTGTGATCTTTCATACAGATACATAAGAGCTAATGTACATATATTGAAGAAGCGCTAACTAAGTCGGGAATCTTTAAATATACATATATATATATATGGTTTATCGTAAAAATTCGTGATTATTGGAAGTAGGAAAACAGGCGTTTCAGCTTTCATTATACGCAATTATTGGAATCTGTACATCATCAGCGACCATTCATCGCTTCCGCTAAAGTAGATTTCAACTAGATTGCAAAATTTTTTCTCGCAAACTTTAAAGGAACATCACGGATCTAATTACTTTATTCGTATGCGTTATTTTCGTTCCTTTATTTACGAGAAACGATCACGGAGGAATTACGAGTATAAAAGTTTCCTCTGTATCAAATTTTTCTCGCGCATCAAATTTCTAAATGCATACCATTTACGTAACGTGCACTCTTTATGATCGGCCAACGGATATGAATAAGATACATATCGTCGCAGATGCACCTGCGCTTATACTGAGTCCTAAATTTTGCATGTGCGCTATCATTCGTACATATACGAATGAAATAAACGCCTGAAGAATGGCAAACATTCTGCATACAGATGCAAATAGCTTTCAAATGTCATGCGACGAAAGATGAAGGAGCCTTAAATAATGGAAGTTAAAACGCAGCATCGCAAATTCATGATCCTTGCATTACAATTACCCCGTAATTTCAAGGCTATTAAATATCAAAAGCAATTTACTTTCCCGGAGTTTGATGCTTGATTGTGAAAATAACTTATGTAGAGATTAGTCAAAGAATCCTATAGGCGGAAAGAGCGGTGATAGTTCCGAGATACCAGTTGAACTAGTGTGAAATCTTGAATATATTAAGTATATTACAGTTAAATGTAAGCAGAGGAAAGTCCTCTAATATGAGATAAGATTCCAATGTGAGATAGTAGGCTTTTAACGTCCAAATTCAATCACAAATTTTTTTTCGCAACGATCACACGATCTAACAATGAATTTTCCACTAAACAGAGATTTCACTCCAAAGGCAATAAATTCATGGTGAAACCAACAGATGATGCCTATTAATTTAGCAGAAACTCCGCTGTCTCATATTAGAAGCCTATCTCATAGTAGGGGACCTTCCTCTAGTAAACAGATGTAAATGAACATGCATAAAAATACGCGAGATAAGTTCAACTTTGTGTTAAAATAGCTGCGAGGATCCTTTTACGATTAAAATGTTTTCGACGGTGCGCTATTGAAATAGCCATCAGGTAATCCATTTTTAAATGTAGTGTTTGATTAATCTGGATTCGAACTACACCTTCAATATCTAATCGGGGCTAACGTCAAAATCCCAGTGTTATCGTAAATTTCCAATTAAATCCCACCCACGACGATTGTTTTCGTTCGCTCGCACGAAGTTCGTCGTCACCGACGCAGGTGCGCATCCGGAGGGTGGCGTTGCTCAGCCACCCCACCATGCAACCCCGTAGAGCTTGCCACCGTATATAAAAGCCGTGGTCGCGACACTCCGGTTTTGAGTTCAGTCGCCGATCTCTTCGATCGAAATCGACCCTTTCTTTCGTGAGCAGCAAGAATCTTCAAATTTTGGTGAAACGCACGCAGAACGCGTCCGTAGTCTAAAGCGGTGCTTCGCTCCTCGTCTTTGCAAGGGTGAACGGAAGTGAGATACGCACGTCATTTTTCGAGTGTATAATATAATAGAAGAAAAAGGTAGAGTTCTCGAGAGGTGAAAATCGCCGGCGTAGTAAAGAGAGTCCAATCACTTACAACAATTCAAAGATATATTTGACTTGTTTTCTAATGTTATTATCTTTGATTTTATTTGCAAGTTTTGCGAGGATTAAAAATTCCAATAACAAAAAGTCGAAACAGAATGTGTGGTTAAAAATATTTTATCCTAAAAATGTTCAAGTAAAAAAGTTTTATCTAAGTTTTCATAGTAAGGCAATTTACATTTTGTAAATATACGCACGTATAGATTTTGTTGTATTTATTGAAACGTAATTAAGTGTAAAATTAAAATTGATAATAATATTATACGTTTGTCCGATAAGGTAAAACATTAAAGTGTATCTAGATTGCGCAAATGATTTATATTATCGTATAATAGTAGTTGATTACGCTTGATCGATATTAATTAGCGAGCACATTCTATTGATTTATTTCAGAAAATAAAATGCCTTCGCTAGTTTTTCTAACAGTCACGCTCGCGAGTCAACGTCAATAAAGGTTGAAGTAATTCTTCTGTATAACAAATAAAATAAAATGGAGATCTCCCTCTTAGAATTCTTTTACAAAATTTTATTTTAATTTGTCTAAAGGATAAAGTTTTTTAAGGAAAAATAAACTAAAATCGACTTTCAGGCCGCAAACAATCTCGGGCTACGTTTCCGGAACGTAATCTACCCGATCGTTTATATAGAGAAGTATCAGCTGAAAATATCACATGGCGTTGATTTTGAGAAAACCACGCGCTTTGACAATCCTCGTACAGACTTGTATCGTCATGTTAATCGTCTGCTCCGTCGGATGCGCGGCCGGTAGGTACACTACAACTTTTTTCTTGATCTGAATTAATTGTAAATAGCATTCTCCCCCCCCCCTCTCTCTCTCTCTCTCTCTCTCTCTCTCTCTCTCTCTCTCTCTCTCTATTTTTCTCTCTCATAAATAAATAAGTCATTATACAATATAAAATATATATTAAAATTTTACGTATATTAGATCTAGCAAAATTGTAATATAATATAATATAAAATATATCAGATATTACAAAATTTTGTTGCACATGAATCATAGTTAAACGTATAAAAAAAAACTTTGCTAAATTTTTAAGATTACTTTATTGCGAGCTCATCTTATAAACTTATTTTAAAAAGGACGTACACATTATTTGTTAGAAAACTATCGTTCTGACAAATAAATAATTATTAAAATTGACTCTTTTTATTTAATAGATAATTACTTCAGTTTTCTCAAAAAATAGCTTTCAAAATTAAATTAGTTGAGTAACCAAAAGGACACATACTTCTAGTTATTAAATGAATTCTTTGATATATTCCGTTTATCCGGAATTTCGAATTGTTCACCGTACTATACATTAATATTTTTTACATCTATTGTTATCTCGATGTGTTCATACTAATAAAGCATGCGCCTTAGAATTAGTCTGTATTCGAAATAATCTCTCCTCTCAAAATTTTATTTTTCAGTAAAATATCGAGTAAGTTATATTGGCTGTTTTGCTTTTACTCTCAGTCTGATTATTCAGTCTTATTTCGAAAGTCAGTGAAATTAATCGGCGCGAAATATCAGTTTCGACAAATCATAGTCCGCTCTTACGTGATACATTTATAAAATGCGCGACCAATACAAACATAAGACGAATGCAAATCTCATAGCAGTTGCATCTTATTATCCTTTAATCACGATTGCATTTTCATGAAAGCCAACTCGAGTGCTCATTGGATGACATGCTCGCAGAACCTTAACAGAAATATGTCTAAGTAACTGAGAAAAATGTTTATTGCATTTTGTTTGCGCATTGGGCTGTAGGTAATTATTCAAGACATTGCAATATCTACGGATTATTCTCGGATACGTGGCCATTAATTTGAAATAAAAAGATGTAAGCTTATTCTAGCGTTCGCGAAACGCTAAGTGGCTTATCATGAGAAACGCCATAATATGAATTTCGTCTTCAGCTTACCGTAAATTAATTCAGCATTAGACTAAATTGGAAAAGTTTAATTGACATGTATTTAAAATTTACATAGAGTAACTACATTTTTTCCCACAAGTATCATCTCTGTGATATTCAATCTGTGGATTGACGTGATATTCTGAGCAATTAGCATTTTGTACAATTAATATAATGTGTATAGATTCAACTAACTAAGCAAACTGTGCGCCAATAACTTTCGATCGTGAAACATACAACAGAAGTCGAAACAGTAATACATTCTAATTAAATTGATTATCATTAATTTGATTATTACTCGATTATCAATTTAATATTACTTGATAATCAATTTAATACTGATGCTGAATCCTAAGGATAAGCATCCTTTAGAATCAAACTGTAAAGAATTTATTCCGGAAATATTATATCAGCGAGAATTCGAACTTGAGCCTCCTTACTATCCGAGACGGGTGTCTTATAGCGAATTTGGTTGCTTGCACTAGTGCGCACTGAGTGCACGCTAAGGCTCGTTTACAGTCAATTCTTATATTTAGGGATCATTTTAAATATCTCTTGAAATAAAATTGAAATTAAACTTTTTGTTGGTTCAACTGGCCATATAATTAATTAAGTGTTACAATTGGTACGACGTTTCGACCCAAGAATCAGGTTGTAATTGTAACACTTTATTAATTATATTGCCAGTTGGATCAATAAGAAGTTTTATTAAATTTTATTCATCACTGGTGACTTTAAGTATACTTTCTCTTGAAATATTTAACCAGCAAAATGACCTGTATAGCATCCATACGGATCATTTTTGCTAAATACTCTTGGAACATGTATTTAAGCAAAGTTAAATGTAAAAAATTGACTATAAACAGGCCTTAGTGTACACTCATTCCGCACTAGTGCAAACAATCGAATTCGCTATTAATCATTCGACTACTCAAGCATGTTTCAACGCTGAAAGTTATCGACCCGCAATTTGCTGTGTTGAAAACAAATATACACGCAAAACATATTATTAGGCACTGAGATCCAGCCTGACTGTATAAGGCGTTCCTGTTATTCGTATTATTTATAATTGTATTATTATTTTATTTAACTTCATTTGTTTATTGTTTTCACTAAAAAGTTACGTTCTGATATATCAAAATGACATATTGAAAGAATAAAGGGATTAGACATTAAATCGGATATCTGTTATACAAAGTGATAAAAATAGAATTTTGCACGATTGACAAAGATCTTTACATAATGCTGGAAAAGAGCTGAAAAATTATTAAATTTTAATATAGAGAAAAGTCCTCTATTATGTGACAGGCTTCTAATATGAGATAGCAGGTTTTTAACATCAAAATTCAATCACAAATCTTTATTCACAATAATTACACGATCTAATAGTGAATTTTCCACTAAACAGATTTCACTTCGAGGGCAATAAATTCACGATGACACCAACAGATGATGCCTATTAATTTAGCAAAAACTGTCGCTATATCATATTAGGAGTTTATCTCATAATAGGGAACTTTCTTCTATATTTAAAAAACTACATGATGAATAACAACGACATTAGTATCGCATCGATGAACATTTCAAAATTATCGAAGTTTCTTTCAATTAAGGATCATTTTATCAGTATAATCTATTTGCTTTACTTTAACGATTGTTGTTCAAAGATGCGATTTGTAACAAGTTCTTATCGTTCCTAATATTTAAACGTTTAATTTCTGCAAAGTGGAAAAAGTCTCTTAAAAATGAGTCAAGTAGAAAGGGACTGTCATTACGGCATACTATTATTGTCTCGATTTATTATTTTCGTATTAATCAGCATAAAATAACGCATAAATTAACACGCAGCGTAAAGCCTTTAACAATTATTTACTTGAAACTTTACTTACAGAAAATTTTTTTATTGACAAAATTTCGAGCTCTACTGACGTACACAGCATATTTGCATTATTATTTAACTGCTTTTGTAATAAAATAAAAGGAGATGTAGAAGATAGAAAAAGTCTTTGTTGGTTTTTATACAAAAATGATTTCTATCAATTTTTACAAAATTTATTTATAATGCACATGACTTACTTCAGACATTTTATGGGAAAATTTTTCTGAAATATTTATTCATAAAACTTATGAAAATTATTTTGTTATTTTCACGAGGCAAAGTTTGCCTAGACTACGTTTCAAATAGCACCGCGATGATCCGAAGGCGACGTGATTGAAATTGAATCTAAACTATCCCCCAGCGAGAGCCTGTGCTCTTATTCGTTACACCACCATAGCCGTCCGCCAGCCGCCTCCTTAATGATTATCACGATCCTTTGTGTGAATAAGACGCGTCTCGAGTACGTCAAAGATCGTCGCATTGGCAGAGAGGAACGTAATGTCTAAATCGCATCGATTCTATCAAAAACTAGTGTGGGCTTTGAGAATCGAGTTGCGCAGCATCCCTTGACGTATTACGAGTGTGTCTTACGCAAAGACGAATATTCTCATCCCGGTGGACGAAAGCAATTTTTTCCCCGTTTACATGACGCATTTTGTATCTTTGTCACTGAACAAGGGACTTATCCTGGAGAGACAGAGTTGCGAAAGCAACGCTCACCTGGATGTCGTTCCTTTTCCGGTTCACGAACAAAACGCGAATAAATATCCGTGCTCCCGATTTCATTTATTCCATCGCAGCCCTTCGATGAGTATTCCTTTAATCCGACTATTGCAGTTTCAATTACTTCTTACTTATTCGTTTATCGAGATTCCATTCAAATTTCTAACGCACGCGCGCCCACGGATTTGTAATCCCGAACCACTTTACGAATAGAATTGTCGACGTCGATACATGGAGCACAACATCAATCTAGATATTTTATTGATGATTGTATAAAATATTAATAGACAAGAATAGATAGGACAAAAATATTACTTATTTTTATTGTATAATTACTATACTTTAATTCTACATTGCTCGATATCCGTGATTCTTGGCATTAAGAATTTTTTCATTATCTTTGATTTCTTAATATATATTATTCGAAATAAGGACATTCTTTACATAATAGAATCGAAGTTCTAAAGCGCGACGCTGAGCGAAATCATAATAAAGTAATAGCGAAAAGCCAATTTTACGGGATATTATCTGTCCTGACATTCATTGCGTACAAAGAATGCCGAGACAAACTTCTCCATATCGCTTATAGGTGATTCGTTCTTAGAACACCGGAACACCGTCTGGAGGATATAATACCGCTAAGAGTCTAGAAATAAATTTTTATTACATTCTCCCTTGCGATGCACTGAATACGGTTCCTGTTTTATCCGCAGGAGAGAAATGCACGCGTTATAATATTATTTTTACATCTTCAGTCGCATTTTATATTCGATTCTCACGTCACTTTATATCACGGTTTTAATCTGAAATTGCATCTCCCGCATGAGAAACAAATGCTTATTAAACATTCTGCTTCGCTTACTTTGACATTTATTATCACGCGATGTTAACAACAATGTAAATATGTTAACAACGAAAAATAGTCGAGTTATAAGTTCGAAAATTGTATGTTCAATATTATAGAGTGCATACATTGTCATTTTATTGCAGGATCTTGTCTAAGCTATGGACACTCCTGTTGGGGAGGTATGTAGCACTACTTCTGGTAAACATATTAGTATTTCCTTATTTAAATATTAATAATAAACGTTTCTAATGGTCCGCACCGTTAGTAGTATACTATAAGCGTAATATAAAACAAAATTATAGCACACGGGAAGCGCAGCGATGTCCAAGGTGTGCCCACCGTGCGCTTCTTGGCGGCGAAGACTCTGCTGAACGGATCCCCGCAAAATGGTATCGCGCCCTCATTCAAAACGCAATGGATTCTGTCTCGTTTAATCGCCGGCCAGCCTATATTACCGTTGACGGATAAATATCGCGTTAGATGGGGTAACTTCCCTAAGGAAAAGTCATACGTTCCACCGAAGTGGAACCATGATGTGGCACCGATGACTGACGAAGGCATTGAGTCGATCAGGTGAATTTTTCGCAAAAGAACGCGGCTAGGGTTAAGCTAAGCGATACCTCGGCAGATGATTCCTCACGAAAAACTGCATGCGTATTATTTCCTAATTACTTACAATTTCTGCACTTAGTTTTTCGACAAACCTACCAATATTTTTTTTACGAAGTCTCCTGTCATTTAATTTATTTTAACTTTTGCAACGAACTTTATTAGATCTGCTTTATTAGGAAATATATGAAACGCGAAAGTATTCTTCTAATTTTAGAATTAGATTAGGTGTGTGCGCATAAAAATTGATGAACTAATTGTAAGTTTAAAAGAATAAGAACGTGACATGCTACGGAAGTTTTATTAGATTATATTTACTTAATATATCGATTGCTTACACTAATGTGCACCGAGTGCACGCTAAGGCTTGTTTATACACGGGAAAAAAATGATGTTGCATCAACAAGATCAATGTAATTGAAATAAAATCGTTAAAACAACATGAGTATTAATGAATAAGAAACATCAGATAGTTGTCTTAATAATCTGGATGTTTAGTTCAATGCTTAAAATTAAAATCCATAGCAAATACAATTGAGTGAATTATTTATGTTTGTAGCAGCCCGTGACGTTATAGTTTAATTTAAACAACTTTATTATTTTAAATTTAACAGCATTCTGTTTCGTGTAGTCAATTTTTATATTTAAAGATAGTCTTAAATACCTTTTGAAATATTTCTTCTCCAGGAAAATTGTCTGTAGAGCATCCGTACGTATCATTTTTTTGGTTACGTAGTCTTTGAACGTATACAGGACAAACTTAAATGTAAGAATTAAAACGGAACTTATTGTCAACCCAATTGGCAAATTCCACATTACAACGTTTCGATCCTAATTTGAGTCCTTTTCATTGTAAAGCTTTATATATTGGACAAACTAAACGACACCTACAGGCTTGCATTAATGAACATAAAAACAACATTAAGAAACACGAAAACTCCCACTTAGTCGTTAGTAGACATGGCGTATTACGTGATCACGAGTTTAATTGGTCGGCACCAACAATTTTACATAGCGAGCGTCTAACGAGGAAATCGCCGAAATATTTTGTATTTTTATACTACACGGCAATTGTAAAAAATATTTTAATAGAATATTCTCAACAGTTTTTTATACCTTCGTTGAAACATTAATTTTTTGTAAAAATATCTACGAAATAGCATCATAAATTACAATGTTCTCAAATCAAGAAATTATTGCAAGTAGTATTTCATGAAAATGTACAATTTTGTAAAAATTAGTACAAAACTTTACTAGTTTAAAGATTTAAGAAACAACAAAATCTTAAAGAATTAAAACATCTGCTTACTTGTAGAATATTACGAAAATTAACAAAAGTGTTCCAATTCTAGCATTTTCATATTTATTTTTATAACACTTTTTAAATTTACGTAGAATTTCTTAGATTCTGACAGTATATTTTTTTGTAGAATTTTGTAGAATTGTTTTCGGCAGGAAAATTAGAGTTGAAACGTTGTAATGTGTTAAATTAAAGTAAAAAGTAAAAATTAAAGGAATTTGCCAGTTGGGTTGACAATAAGCTCTCTGTTTTAATTCATAATCATCACTGGCGACTATAAGTAACTTCTTTTCCTTTGTCTTAAATATAAGAATTGACTATAAACAAGCCTTGGTGTGCATTCAGTGCGCACTAGTGCAAGCAACCGAATTCACTATTAGTTTCAATTATACCATGCTGCTCTCTGATTTATTTTGGACACGAGAACACTCGATTTATGCATACATATAAGCCATATAATTTGTGTATTACACAAATGTTTCCATAGATTGATAGCTCTAGGTGCAAAAGGTGCAAGAAAGTGAAAGGCACTCCAGGATCTCCTTTTACGATTGATATACTTTTAAAGCACACTTCTTTGATGATTCCCGCTCAAAGTTTTATATTTTGCTTCGCAAACAATTAGCGTTCAATCTTCTGACACTTTGATTTTGGAACATTACGTTAAGATAATTACGCGATACTCTATTTTAATTAATTAACACTTTCATGAAATTTAGTTATCTTTGCATCGTTCTTCTTCCATTTTTCTTCTAATTTAAATGATTTTCATTGAAAGTTATAAAGTTTTGCCAGAAATAAAGAAATAAAAATTAGAAAGTAATTTATTAAACGCGCGCTTTAAAAGAAAAATAGTTTAGTTTATTAATCATTAATGAGCTAATCTAATCATCAATATACATTTACAGAATTCCAATAAACAACGAACACGAAGATAATGAAAGGAGAATTAGCAACACACAAGGTATAAAGCGTAATACGAATGATAAATTTGAAAACAATCGAGAAATCTTCCTAATTTCACCTGGTGAATACGATAAGGCAATTAACGACCCTCAAAAGTTAGATATACTCAAGTTTCTGGTACGCCTCGTAAATTCTATTAACAATTACGAAATTTATTAAATAATTTTTGTTAAGTGTTTTAATTAATTAAGTTCCCTAAGCGTTAATTTATCAAGTATCAAGCGCTTGCGTAACGACGCACTATTTGTTTTCAGAAGGAGGGAAATGGAGATACGAAATAAACAGGATATAAAAGACTGCAAACTATTGCGACGAAAAACAGTTTGAAAAGAACAGGTCTTACTATTGAAGTAATAATGTAATAATTCTCTGTAAAGAAACATGTGTACGTGTTTTCGTATTAAATTTCAATTTGATTTGGTGTTCCCTATCTGTATTATACAAATTCTCACTGAGGAAACGTTATATTCGTCTCTAGTGAAACTTTCGATGATATAGCGATTTTGTTGTAATCGCAATTGCGTGAAATATCCAACAGTAACAATTTCACCGATTACTACAGCATTCCGATTCATCTAGCGAGACTGTATCTGTATATCTACTACTATAGAATGATTATCTGTGTGAAATTAGATGCTTTTTATCCTAATTCCTCCTAATCTGTAAATCTTAACAAATAAACATGAAACCTAGATTTTATATTAATTAATATATAAATATTAAAACTCATTTGCAAAATTAAAACGATGAAACTTTGATTTTATATTATTATATGCATATTGAAAATCAATTGGTAAATTAACGCATATCGATAAAAACTTGTAAAAGTGTGTATTGTTATACAAAAAGAGTAAAACGGTCTCAAATAATTAATAATTCAGTCTTCAAACCTTCTCGGTGTATGTATCGATATTTTATTGGACTGTTTACATAGATCAAAATTTATATAAATAAAGCCGTTACTTTAGATTAGACAATCATCACATTAAAAGAAACTATAACTTTAAACTACTATAAATATATAAAATTAATTAAATCGCAATTAAATTATTATCACATTACGAGTAAGTAAGATAAACAAGATAAAGTATGCTGAATATGTAACAGTGTCAATACTTATAGTATCGTAATTATGTTTAATGTTTCTCATTGCAATTGTTTCATTAGGGATGTAAAAATAATAAATAATTATTAACAGTTCAATATCAATAACACAACTAGTTCTAACTTGCGGACATTTATTTCGCAAAAATAAATCGTAACGCCATATCAAGACAGGTGCGACAGACATATATTGTAGATTTATGATGTATACATTCAACAAGTTTCCACAATTTAACATTGCCCGATTATAAAGTGTTTTTCCGACAACGAACGGTAAAACGCAGAGCAATGTTGCTATCACATGACGATGGCACATGTTACCGACAAGACTCGTGCAGCATTCGCGATTATCTACGGAAAATAACGTCGTCGCAAAGAAGATATTACATTATACGCAAGAAAAACTGTACGTCAACGTTATCCACGTTCAATCGAATATAGTTTGCAGAACAATAACGGTCTAATATAAAAAAAAAAGCAGTTGAGCGTCAAATCTTTAAATATTAAATATTTAAATATTTGACGCTCAACTGCTTTTTTATATTAGACCGTTATATTAACTATACCCACACAGCAAAATATATCTGACAACTTCAATCAGATATCATTTCTCCGGTCATATTTGAGATATCTCGTAGACGATTTATCTTAAATATTTTAAGGATATCACATTTCTCTGAAATCCCTTGTAAAAACACCACTGTTTATATTAATATTTTTATTATTTTTGTTTTTAAATAATTGTTTATTATTTAACTTTTCCTCAAAATTCACAATTGTAGTATAAATAAGTAAAGGCTGATTTATGGAGGCCGTGTTACTTAATAATTTATGTCGGAACTGATAAAGAAAAAGTATATTTTATTTATCACATTGCCTATTCTGTAAAATGTAAAATCCGATTTTTTCACAAAAATATAGATATCTAATATTTGATAGAAGATATCACATCTCAGATGAAATAATCATGACTTAGAATCTGGAAGATATCTCCCAGATATCCGAGCAATATCTGAATAGTTTTTGTATCAGGTATTGTAATATTTAGATATCTCCCAGATATCTTTGTGATATTTTTTGCTGTGTGGGTACTCCTATAACGTAAATTGATACGATACATGTAGCAAGAGATATCGATAATAATTTTAAAGCTCTTTTTCTTACCATTGCTATAATAAATTATACATATAAATCTATAATAACGCAAGAAACACGACCGAATGATTGTCGCATCATTACGAAAAAGGTTTAATGCAAATAGTACAAAACGTAGGAATAATCAAGTGTGCAGTACTTATAATTAGAAAAATGATCATTTTAACCATATAAATTTATCACACAATTAACTAAAATTTTACTAATACAAACCCAGATAGCACAAGACACTCCTATGAACATTTTAAGAATATTCTTCAATAATATTTGGAATATTCCATAGGTCATTCTTATATATTTATCTTATGTTCGCAGAACATCCGATACTGGCAATACTATAAATCTTTTTCGAATGTGAATAGAATAATCTATCGAATATAGCGTGTCGGTTATATATGGTATGATCACTGGTTTCACTGCCTTTGCATAAGATAAGTGCATTGCGCAATAAACAATGTGCAATACATAAACTCGATGAATATTCTAAAAACGTTCTTCTTTGTTATGAACATACGATTTCTAATTGTAATAATCTATATATATTTATGGAATATTCCAATCGAATTTACAATTCCAATCGAAGTTACAAATCTATTATAGAAAGAATATTCTGAAATTAAGAATATTTGCCCTCCAGAAGAATATTCATAGAAGTATGTGTGCTATCTGGGAATAATCCTTTTTAGACACGATGCGCACCAATATAAACGAAACTGCTTAGTTTTGGCATACGCGGGTAATTATCTTCTTATTTATTGGTGACGTCCGTATCTGTGCGATGGGGGCGACGATGCGACGCTATCTGAAAAATAGCATACATTTGCCTCGTTAGATACTCGTGCCTTTGCCTAAGCAGAAAAAGAAGTTATTTAAACGTCAAGATAATATCGAAAAGTAATTATTTCGAGAGAGTCAAGATGTTATCATCAATATCATCACTTGAAACAATATTGACCTTTTTTACGATTGTATTTTAACTTTTCGATGACTTTCGCCGGAAAACACAAATCACTCGTGCATGCAAAATGATTAAAATCTTGCAAATCCATATCTATAATAATATCATGAAGAGAGAGGGTTTGTCTGTTTGTCATAAACATCATCTCTCACTTAAAATTCTCGCCAGGGTAATTGATCGATTGAATTGAAATGTTTAATAGTTTTCTTAGCCTCTCGGGATTGTCATAGGCTATATGTTATCCACTTTGCACATCAGGGTACAACGCATGCACAGCTGAGCAATAAGCAATATACCTTGATTGAAATGATTTTCACGCAAATGGAACGCTTTGAAATGTTAATTTCTTTTACTTTCAATAATTTTTTTAAAAAAGAATAAATTTCGTGTACATATGTGAAACATGGATAAAAATTAGTTGCCCAGAAGACTCCGGGAAAGATATTGTTGCGATATTTCTCATTCTCACACAAATGACAAATAACATGACGAAATATTTGCTACATTGACATATAAAATAATTAAAATTTTAATTATCCACTCTACATTTCCAAAAGACAAATTGCCACTCACAATAAGAAGCAGGATATTCCTGTTTAGAAATTTCGGAGTGAAAATTTAGGGGTCTTCTTGATAATTCGTAAAATTGAAGTTTTTTTTTATCACGCGTGTGAGAGCCACGCATGTGAGACCGCAGGCGAAGCCGTCGGACATGCTAGTATTATATTTTACAAATTTGTTAAAATATTCGATTTCACGAATTTGTTAAAATATTTGATTTTTGAAGCATTAATATCTCGATTTTTCCATTCATAAAATACAAAATAAAAGCTTGACTTTTATACGATTTGTATTCGTGATGAAGAATACAAATCGTATAAAATATTGAACAGTAGGTACACTTTATCACGATATATTCTACTTTAAAAATATTCTAATCGTAATAGAATCATTTTTGTTGAAAAGAACATTTTGTATCCATTAATATAAATTATTGCCATATTTAAATCTTAACGTATAATTACAAGTATCAGAAATAATCTAGTTGTAAGTTCGAATTATCATGGCTCATATCAAACGTCTCTAAATTTCAAAAATTATAATTTGGTCAATTTCCCGTCATAATCAAAATATGATTTTTGATAGGCATCATCATTTATATGAGGCCATTTTCATATCATTTTGACTTTATCGTAACTTCTTGTTCGGCTTGGGTGTGATATCTCGTCCATTGCTTAAACAACTAAAATATCCTTCCTTATTTCTATAGCTTCATACAACTCGTAACTAGCGCAGAGTCTCTATACTAACGCAAGAGTTGTATCTGTTATCTTTCTGTCGTTAGAGAACTTTCTTTCTGTTGCTTTAGAGAACTTTCTGTATTTCTTATCTCAGTTCTTATATCTTATATCTTAATGCTCATCCGCGGAAAACGCACGTACCCATTGATCCACTAAAGTCGACAGGGGATAAACGTCGAATTGTTGAGTATCCTTGCGAGTCCTCATGAAAGACTGATCAGATCGTTCCCGAAACTCATCATTCGGAAGAACGTAAAATAACTCGTCGTTCGGCGATGGTACTTCGGATTCTTGAATATTCTGGCTGATACTTTCTTGCAAAGTGTTACGTCGCACAGTCGAATCGAACCTTTTGCCGTGACCGCCGAAACAGGAATGCCCGAACGACGAACAACCACCTACGGGAAATTAATTATATATAATTTATATCAATCGCGCGAGTTATTTACGTAATCAGGACAATAATTTGAAATACGATATGTTACGTGTATTTAATTAAACGTGGTCAGATCCGCACGAAAGATATTTGTGTTTTTGTTCGCAGCGTTTCGCGCGCCGATGCAACCAAATGTTGCATGTATTAAAAAATGTCATCTCTATTTCGTGTTGATAGACGTAATGATTTTGAGAAACTTCTCCGCGGGGAATATACTTTCTTCCTATTCGTGTTGCGTACTTTGCGTGTAATTCTTGGACAGTCCCACGAGCGATGCAAACAAAGTATAGACCTCTGACTTCTTACATAATGGACCCGCGCACTCTTTATCGGAAACGAAAGTGACTGGCAGTGAGTTCTATAACATACCGGAGTGAGTGGTCCTATTGTTTCCTATTGTTCTCGATGTCGCCGAGAGAAAGATATTGTTGGATGAATCTCCGTCTCTTTGTCTACTATCTGATTGACCAAAGATCTTCTATCTCACCTTACATGAGTGGAATAGAAATCGTGAGATAGAAAATCGTCAACTAAGCAGATAATAGAGAAGGAGTCAGAGATTCACCCAACAGCACCTCTCTCTTGGGAACATCGAATAGGATCGCTCACTCCAATATGTTATAGAGCTCATTGTAAGCGAGAGGGAGAAGCTTCTGAAGTCTTGATTAGGACCAACAGGTCGACAATAGTCCAATTCTCACAATAAACCGAAGATTAGATTCGTCATCTAGACGGCTACTCACGTAATGCCATATAGGATAAACTAGACCACACTTTCTTTAAATAAAAAAAAACTTACGTTTATTTTTATTATTTTTTAATAGCGCCCTTATTACTTCACCGAAGCTTAAAGTACGTATTGCTATCGACGTAGAAAAACAGAAAAGTACTTCATAGAAAATTTATATTATTACAATTTTATTAACACGAGCATTGGCTGCTATCTTTTCACATTAAGAAAATTTCCATTGGATAAATCGATTAAATAGTGTTTTCGATGAAAAATTAACCATCGGTTTTTTGTATTCAGTTTTCTAATTAAATTATATATATATTCAATGAAATTTATCCAATACAATTGCAGTTAACGATGAAATTTAATAGAAACACCGATTATATCTTTCATCGGATATATATAATAATTTAATCAAATATATCCGTTTATTAATGTGTAATTGAATTAGATAGGCCAGGATATTTTTCTCAGTGCAGACTTGTAAGAAAAAGTTGACAATAGTATTATAGGATAAAAACAAAGAAAAATAGTGAAAATGGAAATAAAAATCATGGGTCACGTTACAATTTACAATCTTTTTGTGTTGCTTAACCTTTTGCACTCCTATGTCGAGTGTGACTCGACATCAGTTTTTATCTCAGGAGCTCCTTTGTCGTGTCTCACTCGACATTTTTTCAAGTCCAAACCAATAGATGAAATTATATAATTCGGAGTGCAAAGGGTTAACTATAATTTATTCGGCGTCATAACAGTATGTAGTGGACTTATTTTCCGTTAAAATTTTGTAAGCAGTTGAAAGTAGAAACACGATATAATGTTCATAATAGTATTCTATTATTTCATACGCGCATATACCGTACATATCGATTATCTTTGAGAATCACTATAGAAACTACTCTATTTGGCGATTATTAGAGAAATTACAGCTCTTTCTATGACCATCTTTTCCATATGGCGACAATACCCTGATTTACTCTCTGACTAAATTAAAACAATAATACATATATGAAATAATTCGGAAATTGTTGCGAAACAAATTTTTTTCTTAGAATGATAAATAAAAAATTAGGAACATAAAATTTGTTTTACAATTCCTGAAAAATTTTCTGCATACTTTTCGACCAATCAAGATTTTGTTAAAATCATACCTTTGCGAACGTAGTTATTGGCACTCCTGCGGCCTGTACTCCTTTCTCCTCGCGCTGTGAAAGGAATACCAATGTTACAAAAAAAAACAAACAAATTTTCAAAACTTTCTTAGGTCCCCGCGCTCTCTTACAAAGTAATGTTAATAAGAAATTTTTATTTTAATAGCTTGTAAAACGTGTATATATAATAATCGAATTAAGATAAAAGATGCTAAAAAATAATACCATGTAAAAAAACAGTAAATAACACAGTCTATTGCGTTTTGATGTAAAATATATAATTTAATATATTTTATTGAAGAAAAATTTCATAAACGCATTTATAAGCTGCATATATACTTATATATACTTTATATACGTGTAATTATATTAATGTATGAAATAAGCAGAGGTTAAACCGTGTATATTATATTGGCGCGAGACACTACCCTGTCTGGTGATGTGCACATCACAGAATAGAGCAGAATTAGATTTTTTCTATACAGGAACTTCACATACCTTTTATTAAATTACTCTTCCCGAGTGTGTTTGTGGAACATACTGTTCTTTTGACACGAAATTACGTTTAGAAAAATACATATACCTTCTTTGCTGATGTTAAATTTTATTGAATGATCTACCGTGAGCAAGTTTAATGCACATACATTTCACAATATCTTCAGACATGATACATTAGCTCGAAATGTGTCTATATAAGAAATGTAGTAGCGTTTCTGATCTCTAGTAAGCTTAAGCGTAGATTGTTGCACGCTATATCTCCTTTGCACTAAGTAATATGAAAATGAAAACGAAAGAGAGAGAGAGAGAGAGAGAGAGAGAGAGAGAGAGAGAATGCGCAAAAACGTTGCTCATTCTCATTTAATGCGGAATAAAGGTGATTCAAAACTTATAATGATTTATAATACATCCCATGATATGAATTTGTTTCCGCTATCAAGCTTTTCCTCAATCATAAAAGTAAAAGTACAAAAGTATATATACTCTCATATACTTATATAAAATTTCGGAATAGAAAAACCAAATTTATTCCAACACAAATGAGCCACAATTTCGTACTTTAATATGAAATCCATATTTTATGATTAAATGTATTGTATTTGCAAATTTGTTTTTCTTTCATGATAAATGTTAATTCTTTTTACGTGACTGTTATCTGAAAATAATTTTACATTGAAATATTAATATTTAAAGGATTACAAGTTGAAATAACCATGATATGTGCTAAATTTGATATTTTGAAATATTCTACGGGCGTAAAATTATTTTAAATTTAAGTTAAACAATGTATGCATAATTTCTGCCTTGTATAATAATTACGTATACCAGAATTTTACAATCTATAACTATTATCCAAAAAGCTGGTATATAAATTTCTTCTTCTTCTTCCTCGTGTATTAGGCTTAAAAGCCTGTTTTATCCAGCTCTTTCTGGTACAGAACGAACTGGTACTTTGAGCATTTGGATTTTACTTCATCTTCGGTAGACTGCTAAGTTCCGTTCGGGACGTTGAGCGATTTACACGTCTTCTAACCTAGAAGAGGAATTTTTGATACTCGGGGGGAGGGGGTTGCATCATCCGATTGCATTACCCCGCGCGAGGACCGATAGTTGAGCCTCTACATTGTGTGAACTAATTGGAACTCGCTCAAAAACTTATTAGAAACTAATTAATACACAAACGACTATTGTTTCGACGTGGCCGTATCGGCTCTGAGTTAGAGCCGAGTGTCAAGAATAAGAAGAAGAAGAAGTACGGTAGGCTGCTAACCTTGCCGAAGAGAACCTCCAATCTGGAGGACTGTACCCCTAAAAGGATATGTGTGGCAGGATACTCTCGGTGGTTACCACTTCCCTTCGGGAAGTTCCGAAAAAATCAGTCGTGTCCGTGGATTTAAACTCGGATCTTTTCGTTCATTTGTTTACTAAGCAGCGCACATTTCTCTGCGCCACACTCGCTACGGATATAATAGTATACAGGGTGAGTCTTTCCATATCCGACAAAATTTTTGAGAAGGTAGAACGGATCGAGATGAACGGAAAAGTCCTGTACCATTTTGCAATTTTCGTAATAGTTAACAAGTAATTAATTATGAAAAATCGTTGTCTTAGGCCGGTCTACCGCCCAATTCGAGCACGTGGCGGGATGTGCGCATAGCAATATCGATCGCCGGGCGGTCACATCTTGCCACGCGCTCAAATTGGGCGATAGGCCGGCCTAAGACAACGATTTATAATAATTAATTACTCGTTAACTATTATGAAAATTGCAAAATGGTACAGGACTTTTCCGTTCATCTCGATCCCTTCTACCTTCTCAAACATTTTGTCGGATATGGAAAGACTCACCCTGTATAATGGAAATATTGTGGAAAAAAGACAATTGAAATTACAATATATGTGGTTATTTGTATACTTGATGAAAAATACAGACCAACATTGATAATGGAAGTAGTGGGACTAATCATTGGAAGTAAAACAAAAGTTTTCGCCGACGTCAGAGACGGGAAGCGAATCGACTGTTCGAAGAGACGGTCAACGTCACTTAAGAAAGCTGCCAGTGTTGCTCATAGGAAAGAGAGGGGCTTCAAAGTGATTTTTTGGAAGAGAAAGGTTTATTTTATAAGTTAGGTATAACAAAAATATAGTAAAGTACCACAAATAAACTACTTTCTGTTCAATAATTGCAAGGAAAACTTTGAATGTATTTTTCCGAAAACTTTCAAGCTTGTTTGCGTCCCACGTTTTTTGAAAAAATTATTAGGTCCAACGATTTCCGTTTTGCACATATGTTAAACGCACACTACACTCTTTATCTTACTTTTACTTCAACAATAAAAAAAATATATTTAAAAAATCTGTAAATCTGAACAAAAGTAAAATTTAATCACTCGATATTTAACTGGCCGCCATTTTCTTTAAAAATGTTTGCTGAATCATCGTAGTAGGAACGATATCACATTTATAACGAATAAGACAAAATTTCTTTTTTTCCAAATTTTCTTAAGTTTTAACGACCTACACTGGCTACCATTTTCTTTTTTTCCATTTCGTATCAGGAGTATTCTGAGAAAACTTCTAAAGGGCAATGTTGTGAAAACTTTAAGAAGAACAACCCAGAGATAGCTTTAAATAAGAATTAAATTTGGTATTTTAATATCAATAAAACTTGGTAAAAGGGCAATTCTTTAAGTCAATTTTCTTTTGAAAGAAGAACTCCTTAAAACGAACCTAAAATTGTACTGTCCAGATCAGAACATCTGCTTAGTCAGAGTACTTAGCGTCAGTGTCTCCTAGTCTTGAACAAGCGAGTAACGAACAACAATGATAAATAATATATTCCGTAATACATTCCCCGCGCGCAAAGCTAAAATGACTTGCGAACGATAAAGGAGCAACTTGTTTCGCGAAACCGTTCGTTCCATTACCACCTGAAACGAAGCTGATTAATTGATCGGCTTCGACCTTCTTTTTCAGCGCGACTGAGCAAGGTGGTTTTTCTTTCCGCAAATTGCTACGTTTTTAAAAGTTTTACAGAAGTATGTATAACTTCAAAAGATCTCATTAAGTACTCACCTTTTATTTCTACTTCTCAACACAAGTACGCCACGTTGCTGATAATATAATCGTGGCGCAATCGCGCGTATAATTCATTGTCCATAACTTGCGCTGACCAAGTAGTTATATCTCGGATTTTTCACGTATTTTCGACAAGAAATTGATCAAGACAGTGTCAATCATTCTGATCCCGTAATGTATCAGCTCACTTAAGATGATTACAAACATGCCACTTGACAGATAACACATTTGCGTGTGTCACGGGGAATACGAGTATTTCGTGCCCGACCTTTTCGATATACGTTCGTTTGCACTTTAGCCGCACCTGGATTCATCATCGCTCATCGAAAATACGCGTCACGGTCGGACAATTCGAACTTCGATCTGAGGCAGCCGCCACATTTACAGTGAAATGGACTGGCGTATTGCGTAATTCCATTCTATCCATCCGGCATGAATCTACCAAAGTGCACTTCACCGTGACACCTTACGCGAATAAGAATTCCGACATTCTACCCGCAAAATTACTATTTTCGACTGACCTACGTTATACTTATAGAGTGAGTTATTTTAATTTACCACCCCTAATAACTTATTTGGCTTTAATTTGAGAACAAAATGTTTCAGACAAGAGTTGTTTGATTTCGAGGGGGACACAAGATGGTGTCCTTTGACCTCGAATAGTTGCTTGTAGGTCACGTGCAGGTCACCTTCAATTATTTAAATGAAATCCCCTTGCTTATTATACTATCTTATTCTACTAATTAATATGAACAACTTTTGTCTTAAACATTTTTTTATTGACCTAATACTTTTTGAGATATTCAAGAGAACATTACTAACTTTTTCAATATTTTGCTTATGATATCTCGATAACTGTTTGTCGGAGGGAAAAGTAGTACAGGACTTTTTTTACTTGATTTGGTCTCAGGTATATGCTGTTGCAATAGTTCCCTAATTATTAAAATTTTTTGTTTGTTGTAACATAAACAAAATTTACATACATAAAAATTTTTAATAATTAAAGCACTATTGCAACAGCATAGGTATTCCTAAAATAAAATCAAGTAAAAAAAGTCCTGTTCTACTTTTCCTTCCATCAAATAATTATCGAGATATTATAAACTAAATATTTAAAAAGTTATCAATTTTCTCTTAAACATCTCAAAAAGTATTAGACAAAGGTAATTATTTAGATTAACACACCCACCTCCAATAACCTTGGGCTTGACATATGTTGTCAAGGTTACCCTCCTGAGTAACGCTCAGAAGGATTTAGCCGGCGCTCGTTGTTTATTAAAAAGTTATAAAGAAAAGAAGTTTCGCAAATGCTATGTAGTTCACGATATCATGTACGTTTAGGATGGCCTCACGTGGAAAGTTTCTGACACCATATACAATTCAAAAAATGTATAAGTGTCTTTGTGTAATAGTTTTCGAGAAAAATGATGGAGTCTAAATCTTGTATCTTTTTAACGAATCAGTTGCAATAGTGCTTT